GACCGCCGGCCAGCCCCGGCGCCCTCGTTCCACCTCGTGCCGCCTCTCTGCTCCATCCTCCTCCTGCGCAATCCTTTTCCCCCCTCCTCCAGCTCCGTCCTCCTCCTCCGCCTCCCTCCTGCCTCCTCCGCCGCCCGGGTCCGCCCTCCTCCCCCCCCCTCCTTCATCGTCCTCCGCAGGACTCCTCCCTCCCTCCATCCCTCTTCCTTCCAGGCAGCTCTTCCCCGTCGCACCCCCAGGCGTGTCGGCCGGGCAGGCCGGGCTTTTCGCTTGAGGCCTCACCGTCGTCTACGATCCTGAAGCTTGAAGTTTTTGAAACAACCTCGTGGGGCGCTTTCAAAACGTGGTTCTCGCCTCAGCGCCGCGCACATTCGTTTTCAAAGTTCATAGCCATTTCGCGGATTGAGGGCGGGTCGTTTTCAGAATGTGGCGCTCGCCTTCGCTCCGCGCACGTTCGCCCCAAAAGTTTGCGGCAGCTTCACGGATGGATGGCGGGTGGTATGCAACATGTCGTTCTCGAAATAGCACCGCACATACTCGTCTTCAAGTTCGCGAAATTATTATGGATGGAGGGCGGCCCTTTTTTTAATGTGGCTCTCGCTTTAGCACCGCGGGCATTCGTCTTAAGGGGATCGAGCAATTTCAATGAATTAATGGCCAACGTCCCAGCAATGGTGCTTCGGCACGAAGCATGACCGTCAGGGCGCAACAGTCACATGGAACCGCGGTGTTGACGTCACAGGACAGGTGCCCTGGCACGGTTCATGACCATCATGACGCAGCCGTCACGCTGATTTGCGGCGCTGAAGGATTTGTCAGACTGGTGTTATGGCACGGTTCAGGATCTCCAGACGCTTGTTTTACAACGGGGCATTGTTTCCAGTGCGAAGAAATCTTTGTCGGACCTATGAAGAGGGAACTTTGGAGGGAGGGTTTATTGCAGCATTGTTGATGAGGCTGGGGTTTGCACTGGTCCTCCTCCTCCTCCTCCTCTTCCTCCTCCGCAGTCCTCCTCTCCCCCCCCCTCCTCCTTCTCTTGCTGCTGTCAGCGACAACAGGGACGCCACAGAGTCCCAGTGTCACACATCATGCACGCGGGCAATCATGCACAAGAGTGGGGAAGGGGGAGAGGAGGACGGAGGACGGAGAGGGATTTGCCTCTGTGCCTGGCTGGCGGGTCCGCCCCGCCCCTTTTGGCCCAGGGTCCCGAGGTCCCGATACGGATCCAGGGGGACCAGGCAGGGCACGAGGGTGGAATCCAACGGGTCAAAGCCATCGCCAGTATCATCTTGGAGGCTAGATATTGTATTGTAAACGCATGCCGCTATCTGCTCGTCAAGGCTCCTGCAGCTGAAAGCTCGAGCAGACCTGACCTCCATTGCCCCTGAATTGATCGCAAGTGCCGAGGGTGTGAACGATGTGGCATTCGAAAAACAATGCCAGTTCTGCACCTGCCGTCCACTGCTTTGGAGTAGATGGCGAATCTCGGGCAGAGTCCACACGGATGGGAGGCCAGAGGATGTCTATACAGCCTTATGGCGAACTTGACACCCGCCGCAACACAAGTCTTAGCGAAGCTTCGAGACATTCCCAGGCATTGGTTGGCATTTAGGACGGATTTCCCTTGCCGATATTTGATTTCTGGAAGCCCCCTTGAATGTGCCAGGGCCCTGGAGGCTTCCTCTTCTGGCTTGAAAGCGTACTAGTGTCACATATTACAGCAGCACGTTGACCAGCAAGAATAATGTCTGAAAAGCGTTGTTCGTGAGAGCTAGCTGCTGCTGGGTGTAGACTACGGTTTGCACCACTATCCTCTTGCCTCTGTCACGGTTCCTGATATATGAAAGGTTGTGCATCAGAAACGTGCCTAGTCTTACACGTGGTATGCACTCTGTACTTTATGGTCTAGTTTTATGGGCGTGTATCCCTGGGGAGTTGTCCGCAGACTCTGTACCATCCCCATGGTCGCTCACACTGAAATGCTCAGCCTGAAACTCCTGAAGCGGTTGAAGCTGGACACCTATACGGGTAGGTTCCCATATCTTGCTCGGTGGATCGCTGGCAAAGCTTGCAGGTCTAGAGTGGGGGCCCATGCCAAGAAGCATCCTGCTCGCCTCCAGGGTGCCCTGGGTTCCATGGTTTTCGATGGTTTCGCTGTGGAAAGCGCGACGTTCCCCCCACATCAAGAATCAATAGACGTCCTGGGGTCTCAGGGTTGGGTTTCTTGTGGAAGATTTCTTGTGGTCGGGCCTCCACTGTGCCTTTACTTGCCGGGCTCTGTGCAGTCTTGACGTCGTCCGTTGCCAGGGCCTGGACAGTTTCTGCCGTGATCGGCCTGAGCTTCGCGCACGTGCGGAGGAATATTCAAGAATAGTCAAACAATAGCCTGGGGACGATTTTCTTTTATTTGTTTTGGGCTATTTTTGAAATTTGTTTGACTATTTTTTGTTGTTCGTCCAAAATCCCCCTGTAGGAGGACATGCTCGACCTAACTCTCGTGTTAAAGTCCCTGCCGAAAGCTGCACACTCTGGCCCTGGGGCAAAAACGTTAGCCTTGTCATAAACTGGATGCATGTTGGTGCGATGAGCGGCCAGGGCCCCTGGACTCGAGGTGGCAAATGAGCAACCGCAGCGCAAATATTGGGTGTCACTCCAGGCGTGCCGTATATGGGTGGTCGATTCCACCTGGAACACGTATGTTTATACTTTAGATTGAAGCAGTAGGGGCTTGCGGATGCTCCATACAAGTAGTCAGCGCCGCTTGCTCAGCTAGAACAAATAAACGAAGCCGTTCCTAGGGCTGTCTCTGGCCATCCTCAATCACCACCTAAAATCACCCATGGTATTCTTGCTGGGGGAGTCTTACTAACCCGGACATGCAAGAAACGTCCTCAGCCAGTTTGTGGCTCCAACTTCCAGGCGCGTGAAAGAGTTGGTCCAGCAATCTCGTTAGTGCAGTCGTCAGCCCTGTCTCCATGAGTCTTCCAAGTAGACGAAGCCTCCCAAGGCTGACAATGGCACAAGATGATAACATTTTGCAGTGAAGTAAACAAACATCATGAGCTGGATATTGCTTCATCTGCTCATTGCCCCATGGGTCGCGGCTTTCGAAGTGTGCAGATGCGCAGCGCCCAGTCGTTCTTGGGTCTTATTTCCTCGCTGGGGCCACGCCAAGCAGTGATGAAAAAGGCGGGAGGAGACAATGACTTTAGCAGATTTAAGCTGGTGGCCCAAGTCCAGATTGGTATTCTTGTGTGCTGTCTTCTGTGCCGTTTTTCGAGCTTCTTGCGCCCTCTCGGTTCTGGCAAAGGTCTCTGGAGGCATATTGAGGTCCGAGGAGAGCTGGAGGCCAAGGTACTTATGTTGCTATTTGGATGGATCATGGGATTGTCTCGAGAGATGGGGTGGGGAGCGCAGTCGTCCATGGAAAGCTGACTGCAGGCCTCCTTGATTCCGCTTCCGAAGCAGAACAGCATGGTTTCTGGTTTTCCTCTTTTAAAGTCTGGGTACCAATTCTCTCTTCACAGCTGCTTCACAGAAAATGGTAGTTACGGCATCCAATGTTGTTGGCCACGGCTCTCACTCGCCGACAGCAGCAAGAGTGACCAAGTCGTCCATGCAGGATGGTCCTATCACTTCGTCCTCACTCCCAGGCGGGAATTGATACATGACCCCTGCCTGGAGGGTCAGTCTTCGGAGCCTCGGCAGGCGGTGGACATGGACATATTCGGGCCCCCGGGGGCCGAAACGTATCCATATCCACCGCCCGCGGGGGCCCCAGGACGTCGGTTCCCAGGCGGTGGGTGTGGACAAATCCCCGCCTCGCACGCACGGTCTTCTCGATTGCGTGAGCGCGTATGCTCGCATCCCTCGGACGTCTGGGCGTGCAAGGAGACGGGGGGGGGGGGGCCTGCCTGCTTCGGCGCAGCATGGACCTCCGCCTGCACTGGCCAAGTATTCTGGTCGAGAAGGTACTCCAGCTTTCGTAATAAAGGGAGGGGGGTCTCACTTCGGGGGGGGTCTCTTCCAGGCTATCTTGGAGGGCCTGGGGGGTCTGGGGACGATGTTTTGGAGGGTTCTCCCACGGGGGGGGGTCTGAAATGGCTTGTCTTGGAGGGTCCAGACCCCCTCCCTTTTATTACGAAATCTGGAGTAACCCGCCCTGGGCATCCCGACTCTCGCACCCGTCTTCCCTAGGGCCGTTGATGGATCAGATCCGACTTCGAATCAGGTTCCGTGGAAGCTGCCCTGGGTCATTCTTTTGACGCGCTCACCTTCTAGCTGACCCAGGATCGCTGAGGCTCTCACAAGGAAGCTCATGGGCTCTATGAGGCATTGAGGGGTCTCGTTATCCCTGACTACATTCTCGACATCTGGGCGTCCAACTTGGAGTAGAAGCTGACGCACAACAGAGTACCGGGCGTTGCGCAAATCACTGAATTGTATGAGTGCGGGCGTTTCGTTTTTTTTCGGCACTTCGTGATGAAGTTGCGCGTCGAGAGAATTGCGTGCCCGTGCCTTTCCTCTTGCGTCCTCCTAGTTGGACTTATCCAATCAGCATGTGCGTGAGACGAGACAGGATGGATCTCAGGAGCGCATTGCGATGTTTCGCAACATGGAATCCTCGAAAGATTTTGTCAGTAACCAGTGTCGAACACAGATCCCGCTCCTATCTGATGTGCTGGCGCCGCCTGGCCACCATGTAGAGCGAGCGCTTCTTCTCCGAAGATGGCCATTCTGACAAAAAGAAGGTGAACCTGCATGCTGAACTCATCGGCCGCTACACTCGTGAAACCGCTACTTACCAGGTCGGGACTGGTAGCTCTGTCCTTGTATGCTTTTTGAAAAAAAAGCTTGTCCCGAAGCTCACGGCGAGGCGTGGCTGCAGAGTTGAGACCTCGGCGTTCTTGTATCAATGGGGTTGTCGATCAGAATTGAAAACCTTGCAGACGTCAGGCCGTTCAAATATCCTCGCGAGATCGAGCATGTTAAAGCTGCTC